GTGCAGAAATTCTTTCATTGGAATCAGCCTTCATCAGTTTTCTTTTCTCTCGAGCCTTTTCCTCATATACCGATCTCTGTCGCGATTCCATATCGTCCCACATCGAAGTTGCCTTCTGAAGTAATTCTTCCTCACCACGGAGGAATATGACACCTCTTTCTTTCTTCTTTTCCTTAAATTCACGAAGAAAGAAGTCAAATGCAGTCGGAATGTTCTTCGACTGCGACATATCGTCTTTATCTTCCACCTGCCACTGCGAATATAAAAATAAAGGTATTTCCAGCACAACATGAATGCAACCCAAAATACAGATCAAAGCTCTAGCTAGAAAGATACTTCATACCACTGACAGGTTACTTTGCTTAAAGAACATAACATGAACAGGTTTTATATCTCTATTGCTAGAGGTATATTTATGGACGTATTTATGTCCGAAAAAAAATTAGTTCCCCCTATGTATTTTACGAGTTGCAGTTATTATGAATCAATGGAGGCCCTATTTCATTTTGAAAAGGGTAGTATAAATTGGTATATATATATACCTTATTCCAAGAACTTCAAAATTAGCTACAAACACCGGCCTTTAATTTTTTTTTCTGAAGCACCAACACAACCTGCATTGATTAATAAACAGCTATACTAAAACTAACCATAACTTAAAGCTTCTAGTTCTTACTCAGGTATAGTAAATGAACCTGATGATGGCTGTAAAGTACAAACATGTAGCTCGCGTGCACTCGTAGGTAATCAGTTTTATTTACGTAAATAACACGAAACCCATGTGTATAAGATCTAATGTTACCACGTATTTCCACAGTGTCGTATATTTTCGACAGGATTTAAGGCAGTACAAGGAGAGATCATAACTACGTTATAAGCATCTTAATAATTTAACTTATTCATAAATCTCGTATCATTTTTATTCGTGACTGTCGTTTCCAGTTGCTTCAACTTTGCCACATGTTTCAAGATTTAATTGTCTATACTTACATCATAGTTTCAAAATAATTATATAACATGAGCACTATATTTATAATCACATTATTTTAATATGTACAGCAGACTAACGCATTAATTTGCGTGTTTTCAGATCACCGAAGGTCTACCGTATGGCGTCATAATGACGACGACCGAGAAGAAACGGCCGACAATGGGTGAAGACTGCGGGAAGTAAAAATAAATCAAAAATCAGCTCATCCGCCATTCACAGAAAGTGTCGGAATGAAAAAAAATCTAATGACTAGGGTGACAATTTATTATATCCGGAGCACCACAAACTAGCATTTTTTTTTTACAAGATGCCATTCGCCTGTGCCAGTGTCTTTAAGAAATAAAGTCTTCGAAACGGAAGTATTTCCGTATCATAAAAGACGTCTAAACATCTGAATTAAATATTCTTCATTGTGACGCGTAATATTTCATACTGAGCATAAGTGTGTATCCATTAACCAAAAAAAAAAAAAAAACGACATCACCGGTAAACTTTCCACGTCTGAAACTCGTAAAATGTACATCGGCGAATGTCATATTCGCCCTGCCACAGATTTAAAATCTAAGAGCTAAAAACAGACACAGAAGAACTGATTAATAAAAGATCTATTAATAAGCCCCCTTGTTACCATCTGCTTCTGTCTTCGCTAGATAGCAAATAGCCACTAAAAGTAACCAGTAAAATATAAAAAAAAAGTTAGTTTTGTTAGTAGTCGCTCAAAGAGAGAAACAAAAATTATGCAGCGAATATTACTTTTTTGAATACAAGCCAAATAATTTAAAAAAAACATGGACGTAATTTATTATCTGACAGCTGATACTTCACGTCCGCCTCATCGGATGTAACCACGAAAGAGGAAACAGATGAAGCATCATCACACCGCCTCACCAATTCAGTATTACATCTTGTGATGGCCAGGTAGTGTACGACACGACGTCGCAAGACAAAACACTGTGCTACAACTAACTAACATCGTTTGCGAATCTTACTGGCGAAATATCCAGCCTGAAATAAACAATCATGCCAAACCAGTGGGTTTTTTTTATTTCAGTGACAGCCACGAAATAATATAAACAAGGAAATAAAGTGTGAATGAAGATAAATTAAGATTACTTTTATTTGTTAAGACCTCGGTTTACTGAACTAAACACATAATCCAAAGAAGATAAATTACACGTGCTGGCTTCTTGTCGTCGTAAAATTTCTCATCATCATTCCACAGTGAAAGTAAATTTATTCAAAGATAATAAACATTAAAGGTACGTTGAACAAACACAGTTCACAATATCACAGCACATCTGAGCAGGAATCAACGAAATAATTAACCGCTAGAAAAGTTACGACTTGTGGTCAATAAAACACATGCACGTCCGTTGCAGACTACAAAATTACGAGCCTTGATTTAAAAAACAAAATAGTAAACAGAGAATTTAATAGGAAAGGTCTGTGTTCTAATCAGTTACATCGAAAAGATAATTACATTGAGAATCATACGTCTGTAAAAGTTGCGGGCAGTGGCGTGCTAATGCTGCGAAATGGTGACACCTTCTTCACGGAGACAATAAAATATCGTCAATGATGCACACAATTTGGAATTTGGACGTTATTACGCAACAGAACTGTCAAAAACTGGCCGACGTATGAAACTGTGTAATTTAGCAACCCAAAAGCATCAAACTGTCAAAAACTGGCCGACGTATGAACACCTCGCGGTTTGTTATATTTCAGTGTCGGGGCTCACTGAACTAAACAGCGTAGAAACCGTGAAATAAAGAATCAGAGCTCAGTAAATGCTAGAAACAGGTCATGGCAACCTCGTTTCGGAAGTGAAGAAATCAGACGTGATATTTAAGAATTTTTCAGAGTACTACAAGGGTAAAATAAAACTGTGTTTTGAAAGCTCGCCGATGATCCCGACGAATGTCAACTCCGATACCAAAGACACATCTTAAAGACCTATGAACATAAGATTCATCACACCAAACACGACGACCTCGAACAAGACAACACACCACTACTATCGGCTGGCAGCGTACGACTATTCAAGCATCGCCAATGACTGTGATGCTTCTACAGCACGCAGCGCTCCAGTACTACAAGCCTCCTCCACTTCCATCCAAAGATACCTGCACCCAGCAGCAACATATGAGCACTCCTCCGCCCGTCCACCGCAACGCGTCACTCCAGGCCTTTAAAACGTCTTGCAACACCAAGGCTATGCGTTACTATCGTCTCTGGATATACACATGCAACGCGGTGCTACTGGTCAGCGTCTTGGGATTCGCGATCGTTGCAGGCAGAATCGTGGTGGCCGACCCGCGGCGATACCTCGTCCCAGGTCTGTCGCTGTACCAGCCGAGCTTCTTGTACGCATACCTCGCCCTTGCAACGCAGAGCGGACTTCTTCAGCTTGTCGGATGCCTGGGAGCTCTGCGTCTCAACGAAAGGCTTCTCAACATCTACTGGTTGCTACTACTAATGCTTCTTTTCGGTGACGCCATCGTCGGTATAGTATGGGTGTTTCGTTTCGATAAAATATGTGCCGACTTAAGACCGACGCTCAAGCAACGTTTGGCGGCTGAATACGGGGTGGATGCCGATTTCACTACCTTGTGGAACGCTTTGCAGAGAGACTATAAGTGCTGTGGTGTAGACGGTGTTCAAGATTTTGAAGGTGGTGTTGTGAACAGGACTCAAGGTGTGCCAGAAAGCTGTTGCAGGTTTCCTCCATTACCTACCACATTAACTGTCCAAGATCACCAACATCACCACCACCGTCATCAAACAATGACAGAAAGAAGGCCTCCCCTGGGAGGGACGCCGACTTTAAAAATGTACCCAAACCTTCCGTCACCTCCTTCAGCATCGGCGGCTTCCTCGTTCGCGGAAAATGGGCCGTTAAATCACGTAATATCCCCGGAGGAGGAAGCCGAAACGAACAGAGTCCCCGCAGACACCACGACAACCCAGAGACTTCCACCGCCGTTCCAATCCGACACTTGTGTTGTGACCAACGTTGATGAATCCCACGTGTACACTTCCGGGTGCGAGAGTCTACTTCTGTTCTGGTTACGTCAGAGTGCAGACGTTCTGTTCGTATTAGGTTACTGCGTCATTGCATTCCTCAAATTATGCTTCCTCGGTATTCTGCGATACGAAATTAAGGAGATGATTCAAAAAATAAAGGTGCTTCAAGGTGAAATGAGAACTCCACAATTACTACTCACTGAATTTGAAACCGGGCAATCGCCGATTACATCCCCGACAACGACAACGCGACATTTAGAGCCTCTACTCATGAATCATCATGAGAGCAATAACGGAAATATTGTCATAGGGAGTAATGGAGGAATGATCACTGTAGCTGGCAATACGACGTCGCCTCCGCCCCAGATTCGTCACGGAGGCGCGGCGTCATGTGGAAGTGAACGATCCGGAAACGCCGTGCTACTTCTCCAGCCACCTGACAGTCTGCAAACGACGCCATTGCACCACGTATCGGCACAGCACCAGAGGCACCTCACGAATGACGGGACGGACTCCGACACGAACAGCAACTGCGCCCTCATCATATCAGAGGACAGTCGGCCTCTGACGGGGAAGACGAAGCAGCCACGGGGATCCAACGGCAACAACAACTACGAACTGCATGAATTTCAAGAGCTCAACAGGCTCCTTGCGAGGCATCAGAGTCAAATCTGACTATGGAGGTGGATAGCCGCTTGCTTTCCTATGCTGTTCTTCCCATCCGTGCCGTCGTCGTCTAGGAAACGCAGGAGGGAGTTCGGTTATTACTGACCCGAAGGAAGAAACAATGATTCTGTCTTCACATAAATCAAAAAACTCTCTAACGATCGATTCTCAGCTGATATGCTATAGTGATGTGGTCACGTGCACAACATAACAGTGCTTTAGTAAATAACTAGATTGGTTCTTTCATACAACAGCAAAAAACAGGACTGAAGAACGTAGGATATGATATTCTCATGGCGGCGAGTACGAAGATGGCTGTCTTCTGGGTTGTAGCGCCGTGTAATCTGGTAGAAGTTAACCGACGTTTCAGAAGCAATTTGTACCTCTACCATCTGGGCGAAAGTGGAAATATAAGACAGCCATCTTCAGGACTGAAGAAGTTTTTAAACCGAATTAATTTTTATGAGTGAATTTTCAAGGCTATAATACTAGGTAGCTGCTTTCAAAAAATATTTTAGAAAACCAGATCGCTAGTATGTGGTATTCAGTACACACAATTAAGTATTGTATTGTAATCGGATTTCTCAAGAACGTATCGATATGAGATTATGATGAAATTTATATCGTGACATGAAATTCACAATGTTGTTTAGAAAGGATTACAGCAATGTGTCTCGTTTTGAGACAAAGGACATGAAACAAGAAATAAAACAATAGATTTCAAAACACACTCGAACAAATAGTTTGCAGAAAATCAAGCAAGACCCACGAAAAGTAATTATAAATACTGAAAATATTAGCATATATTTCCTAGTACAGTCTACAGTCTATATATTAGCATGAGAAAGATAAGATAGAATATATCACAGAATAAATATTAGGTGCCTGCATAAAACATCCCTAGTTTCACTCGTTAACCACCAGTTAAACGAAACATATTTTAACCACAGTCGCAAAATTCAATTAACACAACCAATGAATAACCATAATTTATAATTTACACGTTCATTTTAATTTGAAAGTCATATGAATCTGGTAGTCGGTCAGCTGTCCTAATGCTCGGTCAAATTGGTTGTCGGCTAATCACTTGTTTGTTTTTTTAATTCCAACGCTGATATGTATGCATCTAATATTGTGAACAGTCAGGTTAGGTTATGTCATATGGAAAAGTCTCTGGAAGTGATTGATGGTTAAAAATATGTTAAAATTTAAGTAATAAGATACATGTAAAGTGATATAAGAGCAAGTTTTTGTCTCAAGGAGGCTGTGATTTAAAAAGTGAAATAAATATATCCAAATTAAAACTTGTAAATTCAGAGAAACAAAACCAACAGAAAAGGAAAGAGTATTTTATACAAAAGTACAATGAAAATTCAAACATCCGCCCTTGCAACTGGATTTACTTATCAAATATTTTTGACAATTTAATTACAACTGTGTTATGAAACTATAAATTGGGAACAGTTTAAATTTAAACTGGATTTCATTCTTAATTTCAGTTCTTTAATTGAATGCGACAGTAAATTGAGCTAACGATTGATTTCTCCAATTGCCTGCCAAAGATTGTTTGCCACCATGCAGACTAACATCTGTAACACTCCAACTTCACTACGAAAATTAACATGTCGCAGGTGTCAATTGGTTGTAGTTACGTTACAATGAGTGATTATAAGTACATTTTGTGGCCTTTGGGAGTGCATTCATATCTAGAATAAAATAAGATTTAGCTGGCTTAAAATGGAATAAGGTTCATACCAAATTTTGTGGAAGTATGTGAATTGGTTCAAAATTTAAAGGCACGCGGACACGGCGACTGATCGCAGAAGTCTGCATCCTTCTCCCTTAAGAAAGGAATGTAGATTAATAAATGAAAACATTTCGATGTAACACGCCGGTGAGAAACGTCACTTAACAAACAACGAACTGTGTCGTTAAGGACGCCCTGAAATTTTTCCTCATCACTGAATAAAATCGACGAAGGTAATGAGAACAGCGTATGAGAAATAAGTAAGTCAGATGGGTTACATTCTGTACGAGCAGAATTGCCATAAAACTACCGAGCAATAGTTCACGACCCTGTTCATAAACACGTAAACTGCGTGCTCATATAAACCTCAGATTGTTACTACGAAATAACATCAGCAATGTAATTAATCCGACTGTCCTAAAGACAGACGGTTGAAGTTTTATGACGTCGTTAAATATGATTTTTATTACTGTTTCAGAGAGCTGATGTAGCCCACGGCTTTAGTAAAAACAGGTGTAGGGCATTCAAATGAGAACCCGAAATTGACGACGAAAATGTTGACAATCATATTTACGCATCGAGTCAATACAGTCGAATAATCAGTCCTCCAGGCCCTACCGTAACACTTTTTCCGACTTTGTAAATTACCAACATAATAACCTTGAAGGCAGTTTCATGAGAGACTCGGAAATAGATCCCGCTGCTCGACCCTCAATTCGCATTACCCTGTCCAAAAAAAAAAACAAAAAAACATTCAAAATAAAAAAGCTCTGAAAGCTCTCGATCTGGGTATTGCACGATTTTAAATTCCCTACAGTTTATTCCCAGAAATTAATATCCTACATCGATACAAAAATTCTGTTTCTACGAAAAATATCTGAGGTGATACAGAGAATGAAATGGCACAACTGAATTGGAACCCATATCACGACGTAGAAAGAGTTTCATAGAAGATATCCGTCTTCTGGGTTGTTGCGCCGTGTAGTCTGGTCGATGTTAACCAACGTTTCAGAGGTCATACTGCCTCCGTCATCAGAGTATGAAGATTTCTGTCTTCTGGGTTGTTGCGCTGTGTAGTCTGGTCGATGTTAACCAACATTTCAGAGGTCATACTGCCGCTGTGAGAACCTCAAGTCTTACACAGTTTCATAGAAATCTGTAACTGTGAGATCTGAGGTTATCACGGCGGTAAAGACTTCTATGTTGTTCTTCTGGGTTATGACTCTGTA